AGCTCAGTGATGTTAGGACAGAAGTAATTGCTGTCGGCACTATATTACTGAAGGCGGCCTTAATATCCAAAAATAGAGCTACTAAGCTATCCGAAATAGATCTCCCAATTTGTGGTTACCCCATGTGTAACGCTTTTGCCGTGATCGAGAGGTTGTAATCCACAGTAGACTTAATGTGAACTTGCATCAATCGCTCCGGCTGAAGTGACGAGAGGCTTATTGTTCTGAAATCCTTCGGTTTAAGTTATGTGAAGACTAAAGATTTCTTTTCGGTATAGACTATATCAGCTGATATTGCTATCCAAGGATTAGTCTAGCTGAATATAAGGAAATTCATCCAATTCTGGATAGATCTTTCACTAAGAGCACTGATCCACTGCCTATTGAGTAGTGTCTTTTTCAAGCCATAATTTCGAATTAGTCCCAAAATAGAAAGAACCAATTCCAAAAATATCACATAAAAGTTTAAAGAATCGAATCCTCCTAGATCGGTTAACCATTAATGCAATAATTGCTATACCAACTGAAGATTATTTAATGGAACTTCACGGCAGGAGAACAGGATGATTTTTCAATGATTGGAATATACAAAGGCGAACAAGCAGAGCAAGAGTCCGTCGAGAACTAACTCTGTCTTTGTTCAACCCTAAGGCATCTATGACATAAGTACCTCGGATGTCACTTCTTTGAATGCCTGACTGACGTAGCAATGGTTGGCTGGTCTAAGACTCATAAGGCGCGCGAAATGGTTCGTACGTCAGAGAAGTTGAGAAGTACATACACAACAGCGGCATCACAATTTGCCTTCAGGCCTAGGTGCGTTGGTCGCTCAGATCAACTCAACTCAACTGACTCGAAACTACAACGAAGTTATGCCAAGCCAAACATAAGCTGAATGCAAAGTTCGCTCAGTTCAGAAAAATTATTTGAAAAAAAAAAAACAATTATTTCGCAATTTTTCAGTAAAATACGAGAAACTTGTGATAATCTGATTATGAAATTTTATCTTTACTACTGAACTAGGAGCTTTGAACCAGTTCTGAACTGTTTTTGAAATGTCGATAAAATACTTCTGCATTAGTGTCGAAATCACCATAACGTCATTACTTAGGCGTGACACACAGTTTCTTAAACAGTGCCAGATTAGTTAGAAAGCAATCCAAAAAATTTCCTAAATTAACGGTGTATACGAGTATGTCCGAACTGATACGAAACTGATATTAAGCTATTCGAAATTGCGCAATGTTTCGAACTAAGCCATAAATGATCTCAAAATAGTACTGAATCACTTTCTGAAATATTTTAATTCGTAAATAGAACTAAGCTACTCGTAGTTGGCATTTTTCAACCGAAACCACCAGATGATGATCTGGAATTAACTTCAAAACCAAAGTTGGAAAATAAGGCATATTTTTGAAAAGCAAAAAAAAACAAACAAAATTTCGCTTAGAATTTAATTGTGGAATCTCTGAGTATTTACGCCTCAATCTCTCTTGTATTTGCCAGAAAAGGAAGAAGCGAAAATTCCATGCAACGAACTATGCAAACATTGTTGCATTCTATTTATAGCCGTGCATAGCCACCGACGTGCAGCAACAAGTTGCCTCTTAGATAAATACATAAATATTTTATGGCAAAGAAATGCCAGTAAAACCACAAGCTGCAAATTAATTTAGTGCTTTTACATTGTTAAAGCCAACTTTTACCACAATCGGCTAAAAAAAAAAAGACTAGATCACAGCAAAAAAAAACAATTAAAGTTCGAAAACGTTATGTGTATGTTTGTGTATGTGCGTGTGGGTCGTCTAAATAAAATGAAGAATGTAGAAGGAGTCAAAACTTGCGACCAGTAGTAATTTACATACTATTCAAAAGACACGAGAGAGAGAGAGAGAGAGAGAGAGAGGCATAAAAGAGTGCATTAATTAAATTTGCTGCAACTTCTGCGTTGCGGTAAACCGGAAATTCAGCAAATTACAAAAAAAACTAGCAGATAAAGCAGTCAACTGCAACTCTTTCAGGTATTTTTCGTTTTATTCATCAACATTTCCTTGGAGATCAGAAATCTTTGTTGCTAATAACACACAGTGAGTCGTCCGTCGGTTGGTTAGTTAGTTAGTCTGTCGAAAATGGCATGGCACTGCCGTGTGACCCATACTACATGCTGTCCACACGCTCCCCGCACATACTGCTCACCAAATCCGCACTGTTGATTCCGTTTGAAAATACCGATTTCTTTGTATACACGTATAAATAAATAGATTTCTAATTGTAAGTCATCAAGTGCTCATTCGAGCAGTTCTAGTGAAACATACAGACATACATAAGTACTCCTGCCAGATGCTAAGTAAAAGTGAATGAATTTGGAAGCTAATAATAAAATAAATAAATAAATGCCAAGTAAATCAAAATATTTTCTTTTGCACTAAATTTCACATCAGTTTGGTCGAGGGACATGCGCGGCCACTTCAAAGTAAGATACTGTTAGATATGTGCATATCTGTGTACATACGTAAAAGCAAGCAGCCTATTAAATTGGCACGGTTTGGCTTCAATTGAATTGAGTCAATGATTTAATTGTTAATAATCTTATAATCGTTTATTTATAAGAAAAGATTTTATTTTTAATTTATTTTAATTTTATTTTATATTAATTAATTGTGTTTTTATATTATTTAATTTTATATTATTCAATTGTGTTTTTATATTATTTTATTTTATATTATTTAATTTAATTTAATTTATTTGTTTTTAATTTATTTTATATTATTTTATTTATTGGAAATTGTTTTATTATACTTAATTTATTTTAATACTATTTAATTCAATTGACATGCTTTTATTTCATATTATTTAATTTTATATTATTTTGTTTTATATTATTTAATTTAGCTTATTTGTTTTTATTTTATTTTATATTGTCTTGTTTTATATTAAACTAATTTTATTTAATATTCTAATGTTTTTATTTTATAGTGTTTTATTTTATATTACTTTAATTTAATTTTATTTTAATGAATATTTTTTTATGTTACTTAATTTAATTTAAATTGATTTTATATTATTTTTGTTTTTGTTTTACTGTTTTTTTAATATTATGTATTATAATTTAATTTACATATTTTTATTTTATATTATTTATTTTTATATTATTTATTTTTTACTATTTATTTTGTTTTATTTTAGTGTACTTTATTTTATTTTTATTTGAATCAATTTCATTTTGCTTTGTTTTCGTTAAATTCATTTCTTATACAATATTATTTTGTATATATTTTAATGTGTATTATTTTATGTTATTTTATTTAAATTAATTTGATTTTATGTTATTTTATTTTCTTTTCTTTTATTAAACATTATTTTATTTTAATTTAACATTATTGCTATTTTATATTGTTTTATTTGATTTGATATTATATTTTTGTACTTTATTTTAATTTTATTTTAGTGAGTATTATTTAATGTTTTTTAATTTAATTTAATTTAATTTTTTTATTTTATTTTATATATTTATTTTACTTTATTTAATTTCTATTTTTATTTCAATTAATATTTTATATTATTTTATGTTATTTTATTTAAATTAATTTGTTTTTGTGTTATTTATTTTATGTTATTTTATTAAACATTATATTATTTTAATTTAACATTGTTGCTATTTTATATTGCTTTATTTGATTTGATGTTATATTTTTGTACTTTAATTTAATTTTATTTTAGTGTATATTATTTAATGGTTTTTAATTTAATTTAATTTGAATTTTTTATTTCATTTTATGTTTTTATTTTACTTTTTTTAATTTCAATTTTTATTTTAATTAATATTTTATATAATTTAATTTATTTTAAATATTTTGTTTTTATTTTATATTATATAATTTTATTTTAGTTTTCTATTTATTTTACTTTAAGTTTTTTACTTTCTTTTTATATTTTATTTAAATTCATTTTGCTTCGTTTTATTTTACTTAAAATTATGATATATTTTATTATTATTTTATTTATATTCTATTTTATTAATTTACTCTATTTATTTGTTTAAATTAATGTATTTTATTAAAATATTACTTAATTTTTTGTTTGTTTAAACTTAATTAAATTTTTGAATTATTATTTATATTTCATTTTATTTTGCTTAAATTTGAATTTAAATTTCTAATTTATTATTTTATAATATTGTTTTTTGTGCTATATTATTCGGCTTAAGTTATCTAAAATTTTTTAAATTTATTTTCTTTTAAAAAAATATTTTTTTTTTTTATTTTTTAATATTTTTTTTATTATTTGAAAATATTTTGTTAATTTTTTAATTTAATTTTAATTAATTTTTTAATTTATTTATATTTTATATTTAATTTTGTTTCAAATTATATGATTTTATTTTGTATTTCGTTTTAGAGTATGTGAATTACTGTATTTTTTATATATTTTAACATTTTATTTAATTTAATTGATCTTTTAGTTCAGTTTAATTTGATTTTACTATTTAATCTCTTTGTGGTGTATTAAATTTGATTTTAGTTTGTTGAATATTTAATATAATAACTTCTTTTATTTTATTTTTTTATTTAAAATATCTTTTAATTATTTTATTGTAGCTAATTTAATTTAATTTAATTTACTTTTATTTCATTTTTTTCGATTCAATTTAAAATATATGTATTTAGCCTTATTAAGCTTAGGGTTGCCAGCTAGTCATAAGGTTCACTTCATATAAATTAGTATGTTAGGTAAAAAATATTTAAAAAACTATAGATTTAGTGTTCAAATATAATATTGTTTTTATTTTTTTTTTGCATAATGGTTGCCACTTATTTTTATTAAAAAAAATCTATTAAAGAAAAATAACAGAAAATGTAAATTCCTGAATTTATTTTCTTATATAAAACTTTTATGGAAAATTCATTTATCCACATTTACTTATTTAATTTGTGGTTTAATAAAATTAACACTGGCTTATATACATGAAAATTTTTGTCTTCTCTTCTTCTTTCTCGCAGAGTCTACGCAGCACGGCGTGGACGGCGGCCCTGAATCGTGGCGTTTAACGCTCGATCAGGATCTAATTGATACGCTTAAGCGTAGCTTTCCCACTTGGTTTCAAGCGCCTACCGGCACTGCCGGTAACAACACAACCAACAGCACAACAACAACAACAGCAGCATCAGCTACAACAAGTGCAACTGACACAGCAGCAAGTAAAGCGGTGACAGAAAACGGAAAGTCAAGCAGCACTGCAACAGTTGGCGAGACAATCAAATGCAAGAGCACAGCAAATAATAATAATAGTTACAACAACAACAATACAATAATTAATATCGCAAAAAGTGCGAGCCATTGCGTGACCCCGATAACAGTTGATACGACAAATCATCTGCATCAACAACTGCCATATCTGCATCATCTTCATCAGCACCACCGCCAACAGCAGCCGCCGCATCTTAGTAACGGAAATAGCTTGAAGCGACATAGCAGTGACGGCGTCGTAATTGGCAAGAGCGTCACCTCACCGCAGCTCAGTAGCAGCGGTTACTCAGCAATTTTATCTTCGTCCGCATCGCCCGCTTCGTCGATAGCATCGAATTGCTCAGTGACCTCATCGAAGAAATCCACATCTAGTCATAAGAGTAACAACAGCAGCAGTAGTAGTAGCAGCAGCAGCAGCAGTAGTAGTAGTAGTAGTAGTGCCTCATCCTCATCTTCCAGCGCTTCGTCTGTATCTTCGAAATCATCTTCATCGTCCTCTGCCAACTCAGTTGCGAGCACTTTTTCGAAAACTTCCGCCGCCGGTGCGCCCAAAGCAACAACCGCAAAATCCGCAAATACCGCAAACGGCGTAAATCATAAGTCTGCCAACGGCTCAGCGTCAGAATCGGCGTCTGAAACGAGCAAAAAGTGTGCTGCAACAAAAGCAGCTGTAAAATCGGCTGTCAAGTCGATAGTGAAGGCACGTGAAAAATCTGCTGCGGCGGTATCAACACTTTCCGCGACGCCAGCTAAAGACACTTCAGTGCCGGCGCTTACCCCTGTAACCGCTAGCACTGGCAGCGCAGCAGTCGTGTCGAAGGCAATTACTAAATCAGCGTCACTGCATTCGTTGAGCAGCTGTTCCGGCGGCTCAGCGTCACTACTCGCAACATTCTCATCGCCCGGCTCGACACCAACCACCGTAGAGATTATATCGGATACGTCGTGTAACGCGCTGCTGACAGCCGCACAACTGAGCGGCAAAGTGGGCTTCGAGCATACATTTCAAGATATTATACTGTTGCAGGAGGCATACGACGATATGTCAGAAGGTGAGTAGCGGTGTAATATGTCTTCGATGGTTGGGATGACTTGAGGCGTAATCGAAAAAATATGTTTTAATCATTTCTTTCTTCATCATCTTCCTCTTCTTCCTCTTCTCCACAGGTGAACAACGCTTGAACGCAGCGACAGCATCATTCCTGAGTGGCATCGTCGGTGGTATTAGCAGTGATGATGGCACAAATTCCGATGGCTATGATCCGAGGCAATCACCGCCGAAGGCGATTGTCGATTCCAGTCCATTGCAGCCAGCGATGGATAAGAATAAAGAATGTGAGTGTTAAATGTTATTTGCAGTGAGTGAGAAAAAAATATATATTTCTTTTATTTTAAAAGACGAAAAAATGCTTCATGTCAAGGGTATTCTGGCGCGAGTGTCACCATTTTTTTTTGTCTTTGTCAGCAAAGTTTTGTTTCATTTTTTATACCTCTCTTTTCTTCACACTTCGTCATGTCCTTGCGCGCTGATAAGTAGGTTTTTTTTTTATTTTATCTTCTCCTTTAGCCTTTACAAATACTTGTAATTTTTCAAAATATTTAGAACTTTTGTTTTTCTTTCTGAAGAATTTGCCATTTTGTGCGTAAAAAAGTTTAAAGAGTCGCAGCTTGATCAGTTTGCTTTTTCGTTGTCTTTTTGCGTCATCTTCTCTTGGAAAGTTTAGACAGTGATTCGCTACTATTGACGGTTTTTGGAGTAGGTTTTTGTACAGGGTTTGCCAATAAGAGGTTAAGATAAATTATCTGCTGTTTAATTTAATGTAAAGATCTGTCAATAATAATGAAAAACACCACCAGTCAAATGACAGCCACGGTTATACTTAAAGAACCGTATCCTTTTTATGGAATTTTCCATCAAAATACAAAGATACTGTAAGCCCTCAATAGCATCAGGAATTCCAAGACCTCAAATCTTGAATCGACGTTGGCCTGCTTGCCCGGGAACTTATCTTCTACGTCGCGCGAAAGTAAGAAGTGTTAAATCACAAGAACGGTTAGGAAACTTTTCCCCTTAATCAAGGGTTTCGCTTGTGCGGCACCTTGCGCCGTCTTGTTGTAAGTAAACGTTGCTCACATCAACACCATCCAATTCTCGTTATAAAAAATCATTAATCATCTACCCATTCTTATTCGAAGATGTAAGGTCTAATGACCCCACCGGACCATTAACAACACCAAACACTTCAACGTTGAGGATGGAAAGGCTTTTCAACAATAAAACTTGAGTTTCCTTGAGCCTCAGCTGCAGCAGTTTTGCTTACTGACATAGCCATTGAGGTGGAAATGGGCCTCAGAGGTCATGATGATTTTTCGATGAAGTTCCGGATCAGTCAGCAAAGACATGGTGAGGTTGATGATGGACCGGCTTAAGTTCTTGTGTTACCTGTGAACTTTATAATCCGGTGCAATGTCCTTTGTGGAATGCCCAATTTCAAAGAACAGCGAGCATTGAACAAACGTGGGGTTCCTTTATTCCTTTATGCGAGGGGATTAACAAAAATTCGCTAAGTTGACCAGAAAATAAAATTCCTTTTTTATGTATTCGCGATCCTTGTCCTTCAATGTATTTCCTTAGCCTATAGATCCAAAATCTGAAAACAGTCTTCAAAATCTCGTTTTTTCAGCTTATCACGTTCAGTATTAACCGCATTATTTGTCCCCTCGTTGCTATTAAATACCTTATCTTTTAAATTTTTTTTTTAATTTTCGGAAATAACCAGAAATCACAAGATGCTATATCCGGGGAATATGGTGCTGGGCGTGTTTCTCCGATCCCAGAGATCACAATAAAATTACTTGTTATTTCGGCAGGGTGAGATTGCGCGTTGTCATGATGGAAAATCCTCTTTCTTCTTGCTTTCTAAGAAATCTTTAAAAAAATTTGCAAACATTCTTCGGTTACCGTCTGAACCTTTTCCAATGGAATAACAGCTATGATTTTAGATCGGGTGAAGTAAACTGACATCAATTCTTTTGTTTCTCAGTTTTATTGCTTAGATTTTGAGTGCTGTTGGGAAAAATGGAGCAAAATGCACTCGAACCTCTTTTTGGTCCCAGACAATTACTTAATACTCGGGATACGGCCATGAGATTTCAGGTTTTGGTTTTTTTAATAGGTTTTTGGTATGGCGAGTGTTTGAACAACCCAATTCCCTAAGATGAAAGAACTTTTTTTTTTAATTTTGTTGGGTCCGCTCATATATTTTCTTGGGACAGTGAAAAAATTACAACAATGATCTGGACGGTAGAAAATAATTCTGCTATTTCGGCATTAACATTTTCCTTATCGGACTTTTTTTTTGCAGACACCCAATTTTTGGATGTTAGTCGGTAAAATCTGCCCAGCCGTTCTCAATCTGCCTGCAGTCTGTGTTCGCTTCAATTTCATTTTGAATAGCTCAGTCTACAATATTGCGTCCTTCGTTCCTTTTCTGCACTGTGTGGCGCCAGTTGGAAATACTAATAAAAAAAGATTGCTCTCCACCTGATGCTCCCAACGGAGTTTAGGTTTTCTTCTTGCTCTGCTTCTACCAACCGATACAACATCGAATACTTTCAAAGCTGTAGTACCTTTATTCATTTGCACGACATAACCAAACCAACGTAGTCGGTGTTTCATGAGGGTCACTACTAGACATAAGTTTCAATATCACTTCTACTATTTTGGGTTTCCATTGCTATTTTTTAAATTATTTTTATTTTTTATTTTTTTTTGAAAAATATATGCAGCAATAGGAATATTTAAAAAAAATGTAACAAAGCTTTAAAAAGTGAATTTTGTACGCAAAAGAAATTATGCAAAATACTTTGCAAGCCTTTATATGTATGTATGATATGCGACTCATCCTGGGAATAATTTCAGAAATTCCTTGTTTTAATTTTAATGTCAGGTATGCTGATTTGCCGCTTGTCAGTTTATTCACATTTTTTTCGAAACCAAAATCGGTTTTATGGTTGTTTTATATTTTCTTAATTTAATTATTAATTTCCGAATCATTTATTTTCGTTGAATCATTTGTGTTGGCGCTTGCTTCACTTGGTGGCTGCATTGTCTCGAGTAAAGCAGATCAGTGAGTAGGCGAGTGGTCAACCAGGCGCTGCAGCGTTTACGTTGCTATGTTTAAAAATAAACCCGAAATAGCATTCATTCAATTGTTATTACTATATTTTTTCAAAATTAATAAAAATTTTTTTTTTTTAAATTAATTTATGATTAGTTTAGCATTCTCCTGTTCATTGGGGATGCAAAAAGGAGAGCCTAAAGAGGAGATATGGAGATCTCTAAAATAGCTGTTTTTTTTCAACATTTAAATAAATTAAATCGATTTTTTTCTTAAAATGATTTTAATTATTCTCTGAAAATTATTTAAATTTTTTTAAATTTATTTTAATTTTTTTCTTAAAATAATTTTTATTTCTTTTTTAAATAATTTTAGTATTTTTTCGAAAACTATCTTGTCTCTTTCTTAAAATTAAAGTATTTAAATTGGGCCTAAGCTCAATGATTTATAAAAAACAATTTTTTTTTTTTAAAAGTTTTTACGGAAAACTTCTTACTAAGCGGGCCTGGTGAATTAAAGTGAAGAAGAAGCTTTCGAGATAAAGTTAGGAAAAGAGTTACGGACTTTTTCAACCCAACATAAGATTTTTACATACATATACGTATATAGATTTATTTATTTTCGTTTAAAATTTTTGCCTCGGCAAAACCGTCATTTCAGAAAAATTCCATTTTATGGTCAATTTCGCTTAAATAAATGCGGCAGACTATTATAGTTTGTAATAAAATATTTTTCTCTTTAATATGAATGAGATTTGCTAATGTAAAATACGATCATTTGCAATTAAAAATGCTCTGCCAGCGTATATTTGCATGTGCGCCATTAGCGGTCGAGTCAAATAACTAACGAATAGTCAGCAGAAAAAGTAATAGAGAAAAATCAAAATTAAAAACTTTCCATTGTGCGCTAGGAATTCTTTAACACAAAGTACATCCATCCATCAGCTCAGTACATAGGCACTTAAGCATGCACATTTAGATGTGTAAATGTATATCGATTACGATTTTCAACGGATTGCAATCATAATGACTTGTCCGAACGTGTAAATTTGCAGCAATTAATATTATTATATATATTTGTATATTTTTTTAAATTATTAAACTGTCATGCTTTACAGAAAATGACCAAAACTTGCGGGTCAGTGCGAAGTAGAAATTTGCTGAATCGAAATGCAAAAGAAAAAAAAATGAGTGGGAAATAAACACAAAAGCGTGTAGTTTCAGTCGCTTAAATGAGATTTATTTTTAGTTTGTTAAAAAAAAAATACATTAAACAATTTTCATTAAAGTTATGTATACGTTTTCGATAAGTTATATGATTTGAAAAGGCAGCGCACTTCTGTTTCCATTTTATATTAGTAAGTCGACTTTCAATAACCGCCTGAATGTAGGCCACGTTTTACTGAATAAATATGCTGACTCAACGGAACGTTGCCTACATTTAGGATAATGATGAAATGATAAAAGAATGCATGTAAATATGGAAAATTGGTTTATAAAAGACTTTCATTCTAACTTCTTAGTTTGATACCCTCAAAATATTTTATTTAATTTGTTTAAAAAAAATTCGTTAATAATTTTAGTTTGTTAAAAAGTGTTTAATTTCATTAGTGTTATGTATATTAAATTTAAAAATTAGTTTCAGAATCTCAAAAGCCTTCTGTCTTTTTGCCTCTGTTTAATTTCTAATGGCAGCTTCTTGAACACATCTGTCTTGCGCACGCTGCAAACTTTCAAAAAATTTAAACGCGTGTTTCTAAAAAATTATGTTTTCCAATGTAACTTCAAGGCTCGAGCTTGATCTATTTTAGCAATTGAGGTTCAGGACGTAGAAAATTTCATGATCTTCAAGTATTGACAACGGTTTTTGATTTCAGTCCAGGACAAGAGGCTGTAGACTTGAAGTTGTTGGGCCATGCTTTTCGCGCAGAAGCCGATGGAAAGCGCCATTTTGTACCTGTCATCTTGAGTTTCGACTATTTTTTGCTGTTTTAAAATCTCAAATAATAAATGAATTTAATAGTCAAAACCTTTTCATTCTACCAAAAAAAAAAAAAAAAAAAAAGAAAAAAATACACACCTTGCCTGATTTTCGCCCCCTTAATAAGTCGCGTTTGAAATAATTCTTAAATGCAGGCACTGCTTTGCTGAGTCCGCTGGTAACTTATATAAGCTCACTAAAACGTTGCCTACATTTAGGATTATGTTGAAATGA